CCGGGTTCAAGCGATTCTCCTGCCTCAGTCTCCCAAGTAGCTGGGATTTACAGGCATCCGCCACCACGCCTGGCTAATTTTTTTTGTATTTTTAGTGGAGGTGGGGTTTCACCACGTTGGACAGGCTGGTCTCAAACTCCTGACCTCAAGTGATCCGCCTTCCTTGGCTTCCCAAAGTACTGAGATGACAGGCTTGATCCCCCATGCCCTCACTGACTGTTTCTTAGGGATGTCCTTTTCTCTCCCGTCTTGTGCAGGTCCAAACTGAAGACGGTGCATGAGCGGATCCCCTTGGCTGGACTGAGCAAGCTTCCCAGTGTCCCTCAGATTGCAAAGGTGAGGAACCAACCAACCTGTGAGAGAAGGCAGCTTCCTCTCTCAGCCCAGGGCTGGCCTCTGGAGTGGGGTGCAGGCGTATCCTGGGTAGGCTCAGCCCTTAGGGAAGGGGTGGCCGCTTTACTCTTTGGCCCTTGACTGCACTGATGGGGGTCCGGGAGGGCTGTGGGCAGATGCCTCTGTCTTTCCTACATCCTCCATAGCTCATCCTTGTTGCGGAGGCTGCTTAGAAACAGTATCCTCCATGAACAGCTAGTTTGGGAGGTGAGAGAAGTAGAAAGACGGGGCCGGATGTGCTGAGCACCGTAGGATGTCCGTGGAGAGGTGGGGGCAGGGTGGCCAGGGGAGCCTTCACAGCAGAGGAGAGGCCTGAGTTGGGCTGAAGGATGATCCAGATTGGGCACCCCCTTGAGTGAGGAGCCTGCGAACCTGGGAACTGAGTTAGCAAAGTGGGGTGAGCGAGATAGCTGGGTTGGTTGGACCCTCACTCTGGGAGCAGGAATGTCACAGAATTGTGCTGGATACGTTTGGTGGCAGTCGTGGGCTGGATAGTTTTTGGCCTTGTCTTCAGGCCGGAACGGAGATGAGCCTCAGGCTCTGTCTAATCCGTTCCCACACTTTATCAGCAAACCCCGGAAAGGGCAGTCGACTTGCTTGGGCACGTGTTAGTGAGCAGCAGAAGAATCCCAGCCCAGGCCTCCTGACCCACGTGCCTCGCCCTCCCATGCTGCGTTGTCCCGGTGGGCAGAGGAGCCCAGATGTCCCTACAGATGTCATCCCTGACCTCCGTGTTCTTCTCCCTTTCAGGCTTTCTGTGATGATGCAGTGGGACTGAGATTCAACCCTGTCCTGTACCCCAAGGTGAGGACCTTCATGCCTCCCAGCACAGGGGCCCTGCCACTTGGCGAGGATTTGCAGACCTGTGGCTTTTTGGGGAGTTCTCTGCATCGTAGTGGGGTTTCATGGGGTCTCCATGATAAGCTTCCAGGTCTCCCTCTCTCCCTGCCCACCCCTTCACAAGCTGGTCCACTGGGAACCCATCCTCAGCCATGCCCAGGTCTCCAGCCCAGCTGAGTTGGTCCCCAGGCTGCTGTGAAGGTGACAGAGGATAGCAGTGTTGTAGCTTCTCCAGCACACCTCAGTGGTACCTCCCTGAGGCCAGTGCTGGAGGGGTCGTGACTCTGTCGCTGGCGGCTAGTGCAGATCCAGTCTGCTGTCCCAGAGGGGCGGGAAGTACAGCAGGCAGACGCTCACAAAGAAGAGAAAGGCCAGACAGCTGCCCCCCGCATTGCCCGTGTTACTGCAGCTCTCAGGCCGTATGAGCCTCTGCTGCCTTCATTTATAAACAGGCTGGTTTTCTGATATCAGTTTCCTTTGCATTGGTCTGATATTGACCCCAGTTCTCATATGGGAATGTGAGTGGGAAGAGAAGCAATAATAATAAACCCACTGAAGAATACTTGTGGCATGAGAGGACTTACGTCCCCCACGGACAATGAATTGCTTGAAATTGGCCACAGGAAAACAGCCTGTGCATCGGCTGCCTCTTCATGGGCCGGCAGGCTCTGGAGAGGGAAAATGGAAGCAGAGCCGTGCTTCTGAGCTTCTGCCGTGGCTCACGCTGCAGCAGCTGAGGCCCGCTGGGGCCGGCTCTGTCTATCCTCTGAGTCCCAACTCTGACAACCAGGACCCATGAGATGAAATGTCTGGTGAGGAAGAGAGGCCCCGTCCCAGCGGAGACATCCAGAATCC